GATTCACAATTCAAAAGGCACGGTGTATAAGAGGATATGGTGAACAGTCTCCATACTACTGGCCTCTCAGGTTATTTTTTCTTTGACTTTGCATAAGGTAGTTTTTGCCATGCCTAATTTAAAAGTGTTTTATATAGTAATTTTTTTCTTTTATTGCTTCTGAATATCATTTTTAGACGTTTGTATTTATAAAATAATTTTTCATGGTTTCTTTGGGTACTTTTTTGCTTTATTTACATTAAATATTTTCAAGCCTTCTGGAATTTGATGTAAAGCATAGGGGGTGTGTGTGTGTATTTTTGATGGCCATCCTATTGCCCTAACACCTTTATTGATTCGTTTTTTTTTTTCCCTAGAGGTCATCTTTGACTTGTTTGTCTCTTTTGTCAATCTTCTCTTCATCCCTAAGCACATCCATTATCTAATTAGTTATCCCAGTAAGCTCAGCTTTTCTTTAGGCTCCTATATGATATCTTTTCTTTCTGTTCGTGTTGATAGTACTTTAAACCTTTTTTATTGTGGAAATTTCAATGTATATTGAAATGTATATTTTGTATATCAATATATTTATCCATATATCAATGTATATTGAAATGCAAGTTGTGTGTGTGTGTGTGTGTAGAGATTGAGAGTGTGTGTGTATGTGTGTGTGTGTGTGTGTGTGTGTGTGTGTACCTATTATCCCACTTCAATAACTATTAACTCATTGTGGATCTTGTTTAATCTATATACCTACCTACTTGTCCTCCTTTCCTCCCTCCAATTATTCTGAAGCAAATTACGGGCATGATATTACTCTTAACATCTGGACTTCTGACAGCTATTTTCTTTCTTCAGTTTTTATCATCCTAGTTCATCCTGTTTAACTCTGTCATTCTTCATTGGTTATCTATCTGTCTATCTATCTTTGGTTTTATTATTCCTAAATGCTGAAATTGGCGTGAAAATTTACCAGATATTGCTCTTTTCATCTGTACAAACTCTAGTTATTTAGTGAGATCATATACCCTGAAATTAGGTTGTAATTCCTAATAGTAGTCTGTAAAGGAAATATCAAGACAGAAGAAAGAAGAAAACATAAAGAGCTGTTGAATTTTGTTGAAGGCCTTTTCTGCATCTATTGGGATAATCATGTGGTTTTTGTCTTTGGTTCTGTTTATGTGGTGGATTATGTTTATAGTCTTGCGTATGTTGAACCAACCTTGCATCCCTGGGATGAAGCCTACTTGATCGTGATGGATAAGTTTTTCGATGTGCTGTTGTAGTCGGTTTGCCAGTATTTTACTGAAGATTTTGCATCGATGTTCATCATGGATATTGGCCTGAAGTTTTCTTTTTCAGTTGTGTCTCTGCTAGGTTTTGGTATCAGGATGATGTTGGTCTCATAAATGAGCTGGGGAGGATTCCCTTTTTTGTATTGTTTGGAATACTTTCAGAAGGAATGGTACCAAGCTTCTCTTTGTACGTCTGGTAGAATTCGGCTGTGAACCCGTCTGGACTTGGACTAATTTTGGTTGGTAGGCTATTAACTGCTGCCTCAACTTCAGACCTTGTTATTGGTTTATTCAGGGATTCAATTTCTTCCTGGTTTAGTCTTGGGAGGGTGTAAGCATCCAGGAGTTTATCCGTTTCTTCTAGAGTTATGTACATAGAGTTGTTTTTAATAATCTCTGATGGTAGTTTGTATTTCTGTGGAATCCGTGGTGATATCCCTTTATCATTTTTTATTGTATCTGTTTGATTCTAATCTCTTTTCTTTCTTACTAGTCTGACTGCTGGTCTATTTTGTTGATCTTTTCAAAAAACCAGCTCCTGGATTTATTGACTTTTTGAAGGGCTTTTTGTGTCTCTATCTCCTTTAGTTCTCTGATCTTAGTTATTTCTTGTCTTCTGCTAGCTTTTAAATTTGTTTGATCTTGCTCCTCTAGTTTTTTTAATACTGATGATAGGGTGTCGATTTTAGATCTTTCCTCGCTTCTCATTTGGGCATTTAGTGCTATACATTTCCCTCTAGACACTGCTTTAAATGTGTCCCAGAGATTCTGGTACGTTGTGTCTTCATTCTCACTGGTTTCAAAGAACATCTTTAACAGGAAGGGTCGGGGAGAGACGCATGCAGAGGGTAGTAGTGGATCTGCCTGTGTCTTAGAGCAACACTACCTGGAGGAAAATTGGGGCAGGAGGGGAAGGCAAGTTTTGGGGACTTTCACCAAGATTGGGGGTAAATAGGATAGAGATAAGAAACTCAGAGCGAAAATGTATAAGAAATGAAGAAAGTTCAGAGTTAACAGTTTGTTTTGTGAGAAGCCTGTTTTATAATTTAGTGCTTAGTAGGTGACCGCATTAAATTTAGACTGATTTGAACTTGGTGGGAGAGCAGAGTTAATTTCACAATGACGGCTTTAGTTACAAGGTTGTGTAATTTGTGCCAGAGAAAGCTTTCAATTAGGGACAGGAACTATGAAGTGTTTCATGAGAGATTAGGGTTGTTGAGTTGTTTGTTTAAATCTGTAATGTTGTTGGCACCATTTGCTTAGAGCCAATAGCCCCAGGCACTAGTTTTAAAGCATTCTTATGTTTTTTCAAAACTTTTCACAGTGAGGCTTTCAGGTTGGATCAAAGGATTAGGAAAATATAGGTGATTTGAGAGTGCTACATGGAGAGCTCCTTTCTGTTTTTTTAAATTTTTTTAACTGACTTGAATTTATCAAGCTTAATTCTTAGAATTCTTAGTTCAGGAGTTGAGTATTTTACCTTCTGTGGAAATGTGGAAAACCAGTTTCCCCTAGGTTTACATTTGTTACCCCTCAAAAACTTAGAGTAATGTAAATTTACCCAAAATAACGTAGGCCTTAAATCTTGCATACCATTGAGCCTGGTCTCAGGCCGAGAGTAAACGTCTGACCTGAAAAAGAAATGGAAGTTGGAAAAGGAGTTGAAAGTAGGAATGAAAGAAGGTGTCTAGGACAAGTTTGACTGCATTTCCAAAGGCAAATACTAAGAAATTATCTCACAATATCTGTGTTTATCTAAATCAGGGGTCAGCAAACTGTGACTAACAATGGCTGGTTTTGTAACAACTGACAAGCAAAGAATGCTTGTTATTTTGTTAAAGGATTGTTAACAAACTAGAAAAGAAGGGTAGGGAAGGGCCATCTTCCAGTAATTCGCCAAAATGACGAACACAAAGGGAAAGAGGAGAGGCACTCGATACATGTTCTCTAGGCCTTTTAGAAAACATGGAGTTGTTCCTTTGGCCATGTATATGTGAATCTATAAGAAAGGTGATATTGTAGACATCAAGGGAATGGGTACTGTTCAAAAAGGAATGCCCCACAAATGTTATCATGGCAAAACTGGAAGAGTCTACAATGTTACCCAACATGCTGTTGGCATTATTGTAAACAAACAAGTTAAGGGCAAGATTCTTGCCAAGAGAATTAATGTGCATATTGAGAACATCAAGCACTCTAAGAGCCGAGATAGCTTCCTAAAATGTGTGAAGGAAAATGATCAGAAAGAGAAGGAAGCCAAAGAGAAAGGTACCTGGGTCCAACTGAAGCGACAGCCTGCTCCACCCAGAGAAGCACACTTTGTGAGAACCAATGGGAAGAAGCCTGAGCTGCTGGAACCTATTCCTTATGAATTCATGGCATAATAGGTGTTAAAAAAAAAAATAAAAGACCTCTGGACTGTTAAAAAAAAAAAAAAAAGAGTATGTAGACAGACCAGGTGTGCACTGAAAAGCTCAAAAGATTTACTGTCTGATCTGCATTATTCAAGGTATATAGTAATATTTCTCTATGTGAACATTAAAAATTTCTTACTCTTTGGTTTGTTTCATATCATTTTCAATGACCTTTAAAAAAACTGGTAATATGGTTTTCCATTGTATATTTACATTGTACCACAATGTAAGAGTGTTACTCAGTTTTTGATTTTATAGCAATACTGGAATAAACATATTTGCACACAGTTTTATGATTTGTGGAGTGCTTGGTAAAAAATTATATATGCATTTTAAAATTTGATAATTTTTGCTAAATTGCCCTTGCTCCAAAGCAGACCAGTTTTATGTTTTCCCCAGTGTTGTTGGCTTTCCCTGTATCAACCCCAGTAGAGACTAAAATGGTTTGACTCTTTAATCAGATAGGTCCCTTTAATTATCTGTTACTGTATAACAAACAAAAAACTTGAGTGGCTTAAAATAACATCATCATCATTAATTTTGCTCACAAATCTGCAGTTTGGCTGGAGCTTGGTGGGAATAACTTGTGTCTGCTTATTATCTTGATGTCATTTCTGGAGGCTCAAAGCTTCAACACATGGTCACTTACATGCCTGGCTTCCTGCTGGAATCTCACTTGGGGCTGTAGAGAACACCTGTGAAGCCCATGTGACTGGCTGGCTTCCTCACAGTATAGTCACTGGGTTCCAAGGAAGAATATCCCAAAAGGACCAGGTGGAAGTCATGTCACCTTTCACGATTTAGCCTCAGAAGTCACATAGCTTCATTTCTCTCCACATTTTTTGGGGAGGAAATGTAGACCTCACTTCTTAATGGATGACAGGAGTGGCAGCATTACATTGTAAGAGAGCATGTCAGATGGAAAGTATTGGGGCAACTGTGTTTGGAAACTGCAGTCGGGCACAAGGTGGAATGTTTATTTTGATGTGCATATTTTTAAATTATGGGTGTGATTATACATCTTTTCTCATGTTCATTGACTGTTTCCATTTCTTTTCCTGTCACCTGCCTTTTCACATTCTTTGTCCCTTTTTCTTTGGTCTCTACGTTATTGATTATTGGTTATATTATTGATTTGTAATAGCTCTTGTAGATAAAGCAAATCAGACTCAAACTTGGTTTAGAAAGTACCTCCTTGTGGGCCTGGGAGTTGTGAAAGTTGTATGTGGGATGGTTTAGTTAGGTAACAGTGGGGATTTATGGAGTAATTATATTTAAGAATCATAGTACTTTTTTTTTTTTTTTGAGACAGAGTCTTGCTCTGTCACCAGGCTGAAGTGCAGTGGTGCAGTCTCGGCTCACTGCAGCCTCCACTTCCAGGGTTCAAGCGATTCTCCTGCCTCATGCAGCCTCCTGAGTTGCTGGAATTTCAGGTATGCGCCACCACACCCAGCTAATTTTTGTATTTTTTGTAGAGGCAGGGTTTCACCATGTTGGCCAAGATGGTCTCAATCTCCTGGCCTCGTGACCCGCCTGCCTCGGCCTCCCAATGTGTTGGGATTACAGGTGTGAGCCACCACGCCCAGCCAATACTTTTGTTTTTTAAGCAAGTGATCCAGCAATGGAGGGTGAATGGGAGCCATTTCCTTGTCTTTTGGTTATCAGCCTCCCTGAATCACTCTCCAACACTTAATGCAGAACAAGATTAAGGACACATCAGTTTTCTTTGGTCATTAATATACCTCAGAAGCCAGAGAATTTTAGATGCATGCAAAGGAAAGGTAAATACAGGAGGAACATAAAGCCCCAGTGGTTATTTCACTACCGAAAATGGCTTTGAGTTCCGTTAGTTATGGTATGTGATTTGACTGTTTTTTAAGTGTTGCTTTCCCCTATATTGAGGTTCAAAACTCTATAACAAATGTAGATTGACCCTATAGAAGTGATCATTTTCTAAAATATGGATGTGTTTAACAAAGTGAAACATTTCTTTTATCTTGCCACTGAGTTAGAATGTTGCTCTTCATCTGCTAACCTGTTATGGGTTACATCCTTAATAAACATTACAATGTAAGTCCTTTCCCTAGTTGTAATCCTTGGTAGTTTTAAATGGATGGGCTGATGTTTGTCATCATAGTACTTACTTTAAGTACAGTTTGAGCCAGACTTAAATTGTGTCAGCAGGGTCTGAATCCCACATCTCTTGACTCTGCTTTCTTCCTTGTTCATTTCATTTCCTGGTTTCACTGTGATGGAAAGATGGCTGACAGGATCTCTAGCCCTATGTCCTTCTAGGTTCAGAGCCAGTGGGGGTAAAAATGAACTCATGGCTGAGCACAGTGGCTCATGCCTCTAATTCCAGCACTTTAGGAGGCCGAGGTAGGTGGATCATTTGAGGTTAAGAGTTCAAGACCAGCCTGGCCAATATAACAAAATCCCATCCCTACAAAAGATACAAAAATTAGCTGGGTGTGGCGGTATGCGCCTGTAGTCCCAGCTACTTGGGAGGCTGAGGCAGGAGAATTGCTTGAGCCCAGGAGGCAGAGGTTGCAGTGAGCTGCGATTGTGCCAGTGCACTCCGGCCTGGGTGACAGAGCAAGACTCCATCAAAAAAACAAAACAAAAAAAACCACTCAACAGTTTAATTTCTGGATCTTTTGTTAACCCTAATTGGATCATATGTTATGATGAGGGGAATAGAATGTGCTGATTGGCCTGAGCTGAATCGCACAAACATCCCTGATGCTGCAGGTAGAGTTAACTCTGCTGGACTGTGGATCTACAAGGCCGTAACAAACAAAACAAAAAATATATAAACAAAACAAAAAAGTTGTTTATATTCTACTGTTAAGTTTTAAAGCAGCTTTCTAAGAAAATTACTGGTATTAAGAAGAAAAACAGCTCTTTAGGTGTTGTGGAAGTACTGGTTTATAATCATACTAATGAGTACAATTGTAACACTTTGTTTTCTATTCTTTTTTTTTAAACTAAAGCAGAGGTTTCTTTTCTTTTCTTTTTTTTTTTTTCAAGACAAGATCTCACTGCATTGCCCAGTCTGGAGTACAGTGGCACCATCATGGCTTACTGTAGCCTCAGCCTCCTGGGCTCAGGTGATCCTTGCACCTCAGCCTCCTGGGTAGCTGGCACTTACATGCATGTGCCACAACATCCAACTAATTTTTGTAATTTTTGTAGAGAAGGAGTTCTGCCATGTAGCCCAGGTTGGTCTTAAACTCCTGGGCTCAAGTGATCTGCCCTCCTTGGCCTTCCAAAGTGCTGGGATTACAGGTGTGAACCACCCACGCCCAGCCCGATGTTTCAAATTTACTATGCATACCACTTAAATATTGTGTTAGAATTTGTATTTGAAAGATTTGTAAAATTTAAGGAATTTAGGCTCATATTGCCCTTTTGTCCACTGCCAACATTTCAGGTAGTTAAATTGTGAGCTATAATCTGTCTATCCCCCAAATCAAAGCTGAATAAGTTTTGATTTTGTATGTTAGTGAATGCTTTTAACCTTTATGTAAGAATGTGATAGGCAGTGTTTCAAAGATTTTAAAGCCATGCTAATTTAAAAATTAAAATCTCCTATTTAGCTTTGGAGATGGATGTTACTAGAGCACAACTCAGCCACCTAAATTTACCACTGTAGAATGATGCATGAAGAGCATTTTATAACTGTGAAAGTAGAAAGTACAGCATTTGAGGAAGTTTCTGGAGAGTGCTTGACCATATGACAATTCACAATCACAAAGACGTGGAATCAGCCTAGATGGTCATCCACAGTGGACTGGATAAAGAAAATGTGATACATATACACCATGGAATACTACACAGCCATAAAAAGAGAATGAGATCATGGCCTTTGCAGCAACATGGTTGTAGCTGGATCCTATAATCCTGAGTGAATTCATACAGGAGCAGAAAACCAATAACCTCATGTTCTCACTTACAAGTGGGAGCTAAACATTGAATACACAAGGGCTCAAAGAAGGGAATAGTAGATACTGGGGCCTATTTGAGGGGTGGAGGATGGGAAGAGGGTGAGGATTTAAAAACTAGCTATTGGGCATTATGCTGATTACCTAGGTGAGAAAATTATCTGTACCCCAAACCCTGAGACATACAATGTTTGTTTACCCATGTAACAAAATCTGTATATGTACCTCTTGAGCCCAAAAGTTGTCCCCCCCCCAAAAAAAAGTTAGCAGATATTAGGAAGCTATGTCACAGACATGAAAAAAAAGAAAACTGCATGGGATGTCATCTTAGGGAGTAATTCCAAAGTCTGTGTACATTTTAATTACTCAGAATGTTTTTACTTTCCTGTGATATTTGAACCAACTTAGATCATAAAAAACGTTTGACTTAAATATCTGTAGGTGGACCATTTGAAGAGTCAGCCAGTAATTCTGTTTAGAAAAGATCAAAGCATTGTTATTTATGCTCGATGGTGCCACTAGGACATGAAGTACCACTAGACCTTATGCCCGAGAGCAGTTAAAAGACAAGTCATAAGGATTTCCTGTAGGCGAACAGTGCTGTTAAGGCTTACCCCGTTTCAGTCATCAGGCAGGTTCTCAGATTTGAAGTGCCCTGTGTTCACCAACCATCTGGTGGGTAGGCATCAGAATCTGGTAAGGGTTTCAAACCACTTAGAACCATTGCAAGGCCTAAGAAAAAACCAAGTTTTAAATTTTAGTTAAGTCTTAATCAGTTTTATCTTTTATGAATCATAGTTTTGGTTTTGTATCTAGAAAGTCATCATAAGCCCAAGGTCACCGAAATGTTTTCCTATGTTATCTTCTAGGAGTTTTATAGTTTGGCATTTTCACTGAGGTCTCTGATTCATTTTGAGTTAATTTTTGTGAAAAGTGTAAGATATATGTCTATATTCATTTTTTTTGGCATAGAATGTCCACTTTCTATACCATTTGTTGAAAAGACGGCTGTCTTCTTTGAATTATCTTTGAGCCTTTATTAAAGAATAGTTGACTATATTTGTGTAAGTATATTTCTAGGCTCTCTATTCTATTCTCATCGATTTGCCTCTTCTTTTGCCAATGCCATTCTGCCTTGATTACTGTAGCTTTATAGTAATATCAGCTCTCCAACTTTTTTCTTTGGCTTTTTTTGAGATGGAATCTCGCTCTGTCACCTAGGCTGTAGTGCAGTGACAAGATCCCAGCTCACTGCAACCTCTGTCTCCCAGGTTCAAGCGATTCTCCTGCCTCAGCCTCCTGAATACCTGGGATTACAGGTGTGTGCCACCATGCCCAGCTAATTTTTTGTATTTTTAATAGAGACAGGGTTTCACCATGTTGGCCAGACTGTTGTCAAACTCCTGACCTCAAGTGATCTTCCCACCTCAGCCTCCCAAAGTGCTGGGATTACAGGCAAGAGCCATTGTGCCCGGCCTGTCTAATTTGTTTTTATTTTTTCTAGAGATAGGGTCTTACTATGTTGTTGCCTAGGCTGACCTTAAACTTCTGGGCTCAAGTGATCCTCTTGCTTTGGCCTCCCAAGGTTATGAGCCACTGTGCCTGGCTCTGAAATGAATGTTATTAAAAAAGAAGACAAGACCTAGGGCACAGGAAGGTTTACATGTATATTTACAGCCTTTCACCAAGATTGTGTGAGTAATTTACCCATAAACAGTTTATTAGCATGGGCAACATAGGGTGATCCTGTCCCTACCCAAAAAAAAAGAAAAAAGAAAAAGAAAATAGCTGGGCATGGTGGTATATGCCTGTGGTCCCAGCTACTTGGGAGACTAAAGTGGGAGGATCACTTGAGCCTGAGAGGTTGAGACTATAGTGAGTTGTGATCTGCCATTGCACTCCAGCCTGGGTGACAGAGTGAGACCCTGTCTCAAATAAAATAAAATAAAAAGTTTATTTTCTTTGTCCATTTCAGTTTCTGGAAGCATCTTGTATTTTAATTAATTTCAGTATAATGAGAATACTTATGCTAATGCTTTTGAAATAAGTAAAACAAAGGAAAAGAGCAAAAAGTCATACATTCTACAGTCAGTGCTTTAAGTATATTTGGTCAGTTTATGGAGTTTTTAAACCTTCTTATAAAATGCTCCGAATGTGGTTAGTTCTGTTTATTCAGATTAGTGGATTATACTGGTAATCCACCCAGTTAAGAATGTCATAGAGTTTAGAATCAGAAGGTGTCTTGGAGGTGCTTGTGCTAATTTCCTGCAGTTGCTACATAATGCAGAGATCTCTTTGGTAATAATATCCTTGCATCTATTACAGATCTGATCTCCGTCCAAGTCCTGTACACTGCTTTGTAAGGCAGTCAATTCCATGATAATTGAATGTGTCATAAAGTTATTCTCTTAGTTGAAGGATAGTTTATTTCTCTGTGCTCTGTAGCAATAAAGGAGTATAAAGACCAAATTATATATTTTAGGTATATATAGTATTTAGGCAGAGACACATATCCACATATATAGGGTGTAATCCTTTGCTTCATTTCTGCATTGTTTCCTCATTTTGAGATATCTCCTGTCATTTATTATTTTCTTTGTTTTATATTTGGTTACTTAGAAATGTTGGGATAGTCTGGTGTGGTGGTCCATAACTGTAATCCCAGCAGGTGAATCACCTGAGGTCAGGAGGTTGAGACCAGCCTGGCCAACATGGTGAAACCCCGTCTCTAATAAAAATACAAAATTAGCTGGGTGTGGTGGCACATGCCTGTAGTCCCAGCTACTAGGGAGGCTGAGACAGGAGAATCATTTGAACCCAGGAGGTGGAGGTTGCAGTGAGCCAAGATTGCACCACTGCACTCCAGCCTGGGTGAGACAGTGAGATTCCCTCTCCAAAGAAAAAAAACGTTGGGATACAGCACTGAATAATGATAATGAATAATAGTTAGCCTTGTAGGATTGTTATGAAAATTAAATGATCACATGTATGAAGCACATATTTAACACAGTGCATGGCACATGGTAAACATTTAATAAATGCTAACCGTACAGTGATGGTAATGGTTTCTATCAAGCCTTTGAATGCTAGATTAATAGGGAAGATAATGGTAAACAACTAACTATAATAAAGGCCGAATAAAATAAGTGCTATAATAGAGACAGAAGCAAAGTTCTTATTTATCCTAATAAGGGAGCAACTAATTTTATTACCGGTAGCAAGTCTTGACTGAAAGTTGTCCAGGTGTTTTGAACAAAGAATTGGACAAAGTACACAGCAAAGCGAGGAAAGAATAAAGCAATGAAAGCAGAGATTTCTCATTGCTTCACTGAAAATGATAATCCCACCGCAGGGTGGGAGCAGGCCTGAGCAGCCACTCAAGGGTCCTGTTACAGAATCTTCTAGGGTCCACATACCCTCAGAGGTTTCCCATTGGCCACTTGGCATTCACACCATGCAAATGAAGTGGTGACCTGCAATCAGAGGCTGAAGTTACAAAGTTACACTCCTGTGCAAAACATCTGATTGGTTGTGAAAAACAACAATCAGATGGGGGGGGCGTTGCAAAGGGAGTAGCCCTTGGTCCTTTTGTTACTTAGGCATGGAAAGTTAGGGTTTCCCTTCTGGAGACCCTATTCTCCTTCCTCAATTTCAGTTGGAGAATGAGGAAGGGAAGGAATTTTCTCTCCTAAACTTTGAACTATGCATAGCATCTCCTTAAAGAAAAGGGATGGCATTGAGGACTTACCATGAGCAAATGCATGGAGCTAGGGAAGTGCATGGTCTTTTTGATGAACTTTAAGTAGTCGTGTGTGACTGAGGGCTTGGGTATGTGGAGGATCTGAGGAAGACTGAGGGTGGGAATTAAGGATGGTATATAGAGAAGTGAGGCTGCAGAGGACTTTGAAAACAATAATTGGATGTTGGTACATTATCCTAGATATTTAATTCCAAATATTTTCAGGTCTTTGAACAGAGGACCAGGATTGTAATCTTATGGCAAAATAGATGTGATTATTATATACAGATAATTAGTGGTTCCTGTTTTTAAAGTTTTGACTGAAGGGTCTAATGGAAAGTGTGTGGCAGGAGAAAATGGTTGCTATAATCCAGAGTGTGAAATGGAAACCATTGCAGATTGTGGAAAAATGAGTCTTTTAGAGTAAGCCCAGGAAACTTTTGTAAATACATTCGAGGCTTTTGATACTTAGAGGATTAAACAAATTTATTAGACAATAACCTTCTCTCTCAAAGAATCTTAATCTCTGGATTGGGTGAAAGGATTGGGTTGGTATGTACATGGGAAAAAGACTTGGGCTCTTCTGGTTGACTGCGCATGTAATGGGAAGTAGACTTACCTCAGGAGAGTAGACTGGCTTTCAGCCTGAGGGAGAGCTGTAAGCATATTTTAAGTGTGAGCTGAGCACTTGGCTTCTGTTTTTAAGTCTCTGAGAATAATTGTCTGACAGAGGGAACTAGCTTTTGGGGCTGAAACTGCTGTGCCCAGACTTCAGCATTGCCAACATTCTCTTTTTGATATAAGAGTTGATTTGGCTATCCCTTAATCTTATCTTGTATTTTTGTTGATTTCTACTATTGCTTATGAAGCTTTTGCATTTCCAAACTTGTCATTTCAAATCACTAAAGAGTCTGGTTGGAGAAATTGTTAGGAAAAAGGTCTGGTTAGGAAATTGAGACCTGGTTGATTACTGGTGAAATGAAAATTGAATTGAAGCTCACAGCAGTTGCTTTATTGGCTGGATAGAATCACCAGTGAGTCACTATTTTTATTTTTTGACTTTGGCCTCTTTTCCTGCTTGTATAGATAGATGATCTGGCATCTAGACTGAACTAGCATCAGGGGTGAGTGTATGTGTTAATCTTGGATTATCTGTTGGTATGAGATGGATTTTGCATGTCTATCAGAATCCTTCTGTGGAAAAAAGCAAGTTACTACTTAGTTTATGTTCCAGGGAATACTAATGCTATTATTGCAGGTATGTAGCACTCATAGTGCTTTTCAGAAATATTTCATGTCTGTTGTCACTTCATTCTCCAGCCACCTTGTAAATGAGATAGGGCAGGTATCATTTCTGTTTGACAGAGGGAATGCCAAGGCATAAATAAGAGACTGGATTATGATTTCTGGCTCAATAAATAAATGACTGAGACAACCTATTACATTTCATTTTTGAACTGCAACTTTGAGAAAATTTTATAGGAGGAAAAGGCTGAATGCCCTCTCTTTTTGTTGTTATTTTTCAGCGGCGTCTTCGGCATCTTCGGAACATTGCTGCCCGGAACATTGTTAATAGAAATGGCCATCAGCTCCTTGATACCTACTTTACACTTCACTTGTGTAGTTCTGAAAAGGTTTATAAAGGTAAGGGAATCTGTGGACTTGCTACCTACAGATTGACTCTCAGTGCCTCCTGCTGTTATTGCTTCTTAGAAAGCTAAATTGTTATGCTGTCTGAAAATATCTCATGAGCAGTTGGGATGTATACTAAAGAAACATGGCGACTGGATAGTTATTGCAGATAACTGAGGCTTACATTGATAACTTTCTCATTCCTTCATGAATATTAGTTTATTAATGGTCTAGTAGGTAGCATTTCAGGTAGATTGAATCCAGTGTCCTGTAGTAATTTTACTTTTATGAAAATATAATAAATTTCTTTTCTTTAATATTATGATAAAACAGGGACCTAGTTTTTATCTTCTCGTATCTGTAATTCCCTGTGTACATGGAATCGTTTTCAGAAGAATGGCATAGTTTTTTCTAATTCAGTTTTATATATTGTACTGTAGATACTAGATTCTTCTGTAAGTGAACATTCTAAGAGTAGATCATATATTTGATTACACATCACAGCCACCTTTAGAATGCATGTAATGACAGGAATGTTGGATTATATGATGGATCATATGATCCTCATGAAAATCTTGATATGATTAAAGATCTATTTATGTTAACAAAAGGTGACATCATTTTAACAAAAGGTTCTGAGACTTATTTGAATCTTGTCCAGTGGCAAAGGTGAAGAATTCAAGTGACATTTTATTTATTTATTTATTTTCGAGATAGGATCTTATTCTGTCACCCAATCTAGAGTGCAGTGGTACGATCATGGTTCACTGCAGCTTTGACCTTTTGGACTCAAACGATCTTCTTGTCTCAGTCTCCCAAATAGCTGGGACTACAGGTGTGAGACACCAGTCCAGGCTAACTTTGAAAAAAATTTTTGTAGAAATGGGGTCCTAAATGTTTCTTGGGCTGGTCTCGAACTCCTGGAATCAAGGTATGCTCCTGCCTCAGACTCCTAAGTGCTGGGATTATAGGTGTGAGCTATTGTCCCTAACCTTTTTTTAGTTTTAACTATTAATTAAAGCAGTGATTGTTTAACAACTTTTTTCTTTTTTATATATCAGTACCTGTATCTGCTCATTAAAACATTCAGTCAAGAAATATACAATGAAGAAGCCCCTTCATAAATAGCCTTAAAATATTTTTTAAGAATGGGAAAAGGACTCTAAATTCTACCATCCTCATGTAAATTTATTTTATTCTCACTTTTCAGTCTAACCATTGCATTAAAAAAATTTTTTTTTATTTTTGAGACAGAGGCACGATCTTGGCTCACTGCGAACTCCACCTCGTGAGTTCAAGCTATTCTCCTGCCTCAGCCTCCTGAGTAGCTGGGACTATAGGTGCCCACCCCCAGGCCTGGCTGATTTTTTTTATATTTTTAGTAGAGATGAGGTTTCACCATGTTGGCCAGGCTGGTCTCAAACTCCTGACCTCAGATGATCCCATGCCTGCCTTGGCCTCCCAAAGTGCTGGGATTACAGGCATGAGCTACCGTGCCCAGCCCATTACATATTTTTAAAACAATGTATTCATCTTAATGATTCATGCTAGCTACTGTAACAAATACCACAACTCTTAGTGGCTTACCAAAATACATTTCTTACACTAAGTCCAGTGCAGGTGTTATCAGGTGCTGTCTTGGCAGCTGTCCTCTTAAGCATTGACTCAGGTATTCAGGTTCCTTCTAGTTTGGGCTGCTGCTGTCCTCAATACATGGCCTTTGGTATGGCCAGAGATAGAAGGATTACTCGTGGGAGATTTTTAAATGAAATGGTCCACATGAATTTTATTACATTCTATTGGTCATTAATCAGTTGCATTGCCCTTTTCATTTTTTATTTTATTTATTTATTTTTGAGATGGAGTCTCGCTCTGTTGCCCAGGCTGAAGTGCAGTGGTGCCATCTCAGCTCATTGCAACTTCTGCCTCCCATGGTCAAGTGATTCTCCTGCCTCAGCCTCTCAAGAAGATGGGATTATAGGCATGTGCCTCCACAACCAGCTAATTTTTGTGTTTTTTGTAGAGAAGGGATTTCACCATGTTGGCCAGGTGGTCTCAAACTACTGACCTCAGGTGATCTGCCCATCTCAGTCTCCCAAAGTGCTGAGATTATAGGCCTGAGCCACTGCACCTGGCCTACGTTCTTCTTTTTAGATGGAAGGGGGACTGGGAAATGTAGGCTTCCTGTGTGTCCAGAAGGAAAATGAAACAATTTGGTTAAGGGTATAAGCATTTTTGTAGGCTTTAAAACATTTAGTCTACTGCTCATTAACTGGTTATATCATTAGCAATATATGACAGAGCTGGAGTAAATTTTTGATGAGTTTCTTTATAATCAATCCTGATTATCTTAATAAAACTTCTGTGTTCTTGCTTCAGTGTTACCTCTGATAATAGTAATTAACACCAGTACTTAGCACATTTTGGGAATTTGGAAAATGATAGCAATGATTAGAATTATCATAATCATAATAGTGTTTTCTAAAATGAGAGTAGTCATGGGCCTGGTTAATGATCATGTTAAAAACTTGTCTAGAGATATGGTGAAAGCAAAGTGACTTTTTTTTGTTTTTGTATTTTCTTTCCTCTAGCTCAGATTGTATCTTGAATTTAGGAGTTATCATAGACTGTTTTTCGAAATTACCTCAGTGAGATAATCATCAACACAGTTAGTGAATAGCTGGTGACAGACCACAGGGGAAGTCCCAGGTCTGGTGTAGCTGTTGAATCTGCCATTAGCTGTCAAGCCTCTTGGATAGGGCATTTAGTTCCTCTTGTGGGCTTTAATTTATCATTAAAATGAAGGAACTGGTGATTTCTGAGAATTCCTCCTATTCCAAAATGTCATGGTTGATTGAAGCCTATTCATGAACTCTTGGGCTTTATAAACTTTTAACTACCATAGGAGGAGCCGGGAAGCCCTTTCCTTAGTAATTCTAGTGAATGCTACTGTATCTTGTTGGTCAGACCGGTCATGACAAACATGAATGTTTTATGATCATTATTTGGTCCTTGGTATAGTACAATCATGATAAGAGACCAGTTGACTCTTCTCCATGAACCACCTGTATCACCTGTTTAGTGGTAAAAGACAGTGTTTTGTTGGAAGAATATCTGAAATGCTGGCTTCTCAGTTTTTCTTTTATTTCAGCTAAATTCACAGCAGATCCAAAGAAGATATGTGTGAAATTTCAGAAGAAATGTGTGAAATGTTTTTGACTTTTGACATCCCTGTAGTGCTTTTAGGAGATTGTCTATTTTTAAAATATTTCCAATCAAACATTAGTTAATATATCCCCAGAGAACAAAGCCTTGTGTTAATGGATGGATAGGTTTTAAACTTGGTTCCCTGTTAAACTTGGAATTTTTATACAATCAAGTTTGTTTTTCATAGTTATTTTCTTACCTGTGAAATGTAAGTGCCTGTCCTCTCCTGGAATACTATCTTCAATACATCAGAAGATGAACTCTATATTACCTAATTTAGTGATCTTATACAAGTCTCAAAGTTTTAGTTATTTATTTATTTGTTTGCTTGTTTTTATTTATTTTTTGAGACAGAGTCTCACTCTGTCAAGCAGGCTGGAGTGCAGAATCATAGCTCACTGTAGCCTCAACTTTCTGGGCTCAGGTGATTCTTCCCACTCAGCCTCCCAAGTAGCTGGGACTACAGGCACACACCACCATGCCTGGCTAACTTTTTTTACTGTTTGTAGAGCCGAGTTTTGCTATGTTACCCAGGCTGATCTCAAACTTCTGGGCTCAAGCCATCCACCTGCCTTGGTCTCCCAAAGTGCTGGGATTACAGGCAGGAGCCACCAAGCCTGGCTCAGGTCTTACGGTTTTAAATGTCACCTGTTGACCTTTCTTCTGAACTCATACCCCTGTAATTCAGTTGCCTACTCTACAACTCCATTTGGAGCCTAGTAGGTGACAAACTTGGTATGCTCAACTGAGCTTCATGTTCCAGCTGTGATCCACTTCCTATATTCTTCCTTATATCAGAAAATGGCAACTCTATTTCATTGGCCAAAAACTTTGAAATTGTCCTGTTTCTCTTACATTCCATATCCAGTCTTTCAGCATATACTTCTGGCTGTTACTATCAAAATATAATCATAACCTGATCACTTGCTATCCTCAAACCACAGTCATCTTTTGCCTGCATTGTGGAAGCAGACGTTTAACAGGTTTGTCTGCTCATGTAACTCCCTCAGTCTGTTCTCAGCTTTTATTAAATGAAAGTTTGATCCCTTTATTTCTCTCCTCAAAACGCTCCTGTGGCTTCCCATCTCATTCAGAGTAAAAGCTAAACTCCTTATGGTTTTCTAAAAGGCCTTTCATAATACGATTCTTGGTTACCTCTCAGAACTCATCTGCTACTCTTCCAGCTGTCTGTGTTCCAGCCAGCTGACGTTGTAGCTGTTGCTTGAATGCATTGGTTTTAACTAACTTAAAAGCCTCTTCATTTGCTGTTTCTTTGACTTGGATACTTTTCCTGTACATATTCCCATGACTAGTGCTTCCAGCTTCTTGCAGATCTTTCTTTTTTCCTTTGTTTTTGAGACAGAGTCTTGCTCTGTTGCCCAGGCTGGAGTGCATTGGCACAGTCCCAGCTCACTGCAACCTCCACCTTCTGAGTTCAAGCGGTTCTTCTGCCTCAGCTGGGACTACAGGTGTGCGCCATCACACCCACCTAATTTTTGTATTTTTAGTAGAGATGGGGTTTCACCATGTTGGCCAGGATGGTCTCGATCTCTTGACCTCGTGGTCTGTCTGCCTCAGCCTCCTAAAGTGCTGGGATTACAAGCATGAGCCACCCAGCCTGGCCATTTTCTTTTCCTTTCAATTCTGCTTCTTCTGAATTGCAGATCTTTATTCCAAATGTTTCTCAGAGAAAGTCTCCTTGATCACTGACTAACGCTTTTATAAGTTGTGATTATTTTCCTCTGTCTTTTGTGCTTTGTTTTTCTCCATGGTACTTAAGATCACTTGACATACTATATGTTTAATTATTTGATTATTGTATGTCTCTTTCCACTAGAATGTAAGCTCCATGAACAGAGATTTTTAGGTCCCTTTTGGTCATTGCTGTGTCCCCAATATGCAGAACCATGCTTGACACATACTAGGCCCTCAAATATTTTTGTCTTTTTAATTTAATTTTTTAATAGGTAAAAAAATATATATGTAAAGATATAAAGGTTTATATTAAAGGCTCTCTTTCACCTGCCTTCCATCACCCTACTTTTCTCCCCCACCCTGATAAGCACCGTTACTCATTTCTTGTTTGTCTTTACTGAGATTCCTTCTGCAAATACAAATACAAATATTCTTATTCCTTTCTCTCCTCTTTTTTTTTTTTTACACAAAATGTACCATTCTATTTATGTTTCTATACCTTGCATTTTTCACTTACTGTCTTAGAGTTTTCTGTTTTGATTCCTAGACAGCATCCCTGTTTTTTTTTTTCTGCATAGTTTTGCATTGAATAAATATGCCATAATTTATTTAACTGACTCCTATTGGTGGGCCCTTAGGTTGTTCTAGTTTTTTGCTATATACACAGTATTGCATTGAATAACTTTATAAGTAAATTGTTTTGTATGATGGCAGTATATTGGTAGGGTAAATTTCACAAAGTGGAATTGCTGTGACAAAGAGGATGGTGAATTGCCCTCCGTGGGAGTTGTTTTATGTGTGAGTGCTTCTCCCCACAGCTTTACCACCAAGCCTGTGCAAACTTTTGAAGTTTTACCAATCTGTTAGGTGAAAAATAGTTTTGCAGTGTAGCTTAAGTTTATACTTTTCCTATTATAAGTATGGATGAGGCACTAATGAAGCATTTGTTGAGTGAATGGAATGCTGCCGAACAGCCAAAACTCGCCATTGAAACCATGCTCTGCAATCTGTGATTGCTTTGTTTCTTTAGGTCTTAGCATGGCTACATAGAGAAATATTTGTATCTAATGGTCCCTTTCATATAGAAGTAGGTCTTGGATTATATCTTTTTGAAAATTTAGGCTGGGTGTGGTGGTTTATGACTGTAATCCCAGCTGAGGCGGGTGGATCATTTGGGGTCAGGAGTTCAAGACCAGCCTGGCCAACATGACTAAGCCCTGTTTCTACTAAAAATACAAAAATTGGGCCAGGATCGGTGGCTCATGCCTGTAATCCCAGCACTTTGGGCGGCCGAGGGGGCGGATCACTTGAGGTCAGGAATTCGTGACCAGCCTGACCAATGTGGTAAAACCCCAAAATTACCCAAGCATGGTGGCGGGCACCTGTAGTCTCAGCTACTCGAGAGGCCAACGCAGGAGAATTGCTTGAACCTGGGAGGTGGAGGTAGCAGTGAACTGAGATCGTGCCACAAGCACTTCTGCTTCAGCCTCCCAAGTAGCTGGGATTACAGGCATGTGCCACCATGCCCAGCTAATTTTTGTATTTTTAGTAGAGATGGAGTTTTACCATGTTGGCCATAAGAGCAACATAGAGGTGACTTGGGTAGGGTTAGCAGAGGGAATACTGGAAGGTTTTTGGGAATGGCTGAACTTCTGACAGATTTTGATTGCATCCTTGAGTTTTGTAACATTTTCCAACATACATGAAAGCTGTAGAATCATGAAATTTTAATGCTTACTGAGGACCTTCAATTATCAGTTTAATTCTCTAAGTTGTCTTAGAGCAATAATGAGCCCAAGAGAATTAAATAGACAAAATGTTAGTGACAGAAGTAGAAGTAGGACTTAGGTTATCTGGTTGCTAGTTTTGGTTAAAACGCTAGCAACTAGATAACCTAGATCAGTATTCACTCCGCAGAACTACCATAGGTAATCATTAGAGATGTTTGAGGAAAACAGAGCAGATGGATTCAGTTATGAGGGTGGAAGTGGGGAAGGAAAAAAGTTGGGGTTTTTAAGGGCTCAAATTAAATTTGGAGGAAAAATGAGCCAGTAAGGCAATAGTCACTAAAGTAAATCTGAAAGGTTTTAACTGTCCTTGCAGAAGTAAAGAAGGTTAAAGTAAGTGTTTTATTCCCTTTAAAACACTTTCATTTACTTCTTACCTTGTTTTTTTTTAAACAGATAAAGATATAGAGAGAATAATCCCTTGAAAATATTTTAAATGTTTTGCTGGAATATATGTTTAAAAATTTAGAGGATTAAGAGTTTGTTAATGGGCTTATTTTCTTTCATATAACTTATTGTTCTTTTTTTTTTCTTTTCCAGAATTTTATAGAAGTGAAGTGATTAAGAATTCCTTGGTAAGTTTGCTTTCTGACAAGGTACCTGTGACTAAATATATACACTTTTTTCTGTTTTCAGAAAATGCAGAAATGTAAAATACATTGAAGTTCAGCTCTGGTTTTAAAATACTTAGCAGATCTGCTCAATTGTTAAATCATCCTTGTTTTGTTCATTGCTGTATCTCTGGTGCTTCAAACATGACTGGCACATAGTAGGTGCTTGATAAATATTTACTGAATGAACTGATTTTTCTGTTAAGAACTTTAAATGGTATAAACTCAAATTCTATAATTTTCTCACTTTCATTTACTATAAATATATTTCTGACTATTTCACTGACCGTATGTCATAATAAATGATATCTTTAGATACAGTTCTTCAGAATTTTATGCCTAGGGCTTTTGTATAGGATACTCCTACTTGTTTCTTGGCAGTGGCATTGCTCAGTTGGCAAGTTGTAAGTGTCCTGCTTTTGATAATGTGTACCCTCGATATTTCCATAAATGGCTCAATTTATTAGGCTGTGTTGAAAACAAAGAAGAGCTTTATGTTAATGAAAGTATCATTTCAATGGTCCAATACGGCCTTGGATTTGGCCGCTGTCTGCTTTTCCACTTCATCTCCTCCGCCCCGCACTCAGCGTGTTCCAGGTGTACCTCTTTCAGTGCTTCAAACATGCGAAGCTTATCTTCTTCCTTCTGCCTGGAACACTTGTTTCCTCAGCTGTTCGCTTAACTGAAGAGGTCTTTCAGCTATGTCACTTCAGCAAGACCTTCTATGATTATCTCATCCAGAGTAGTTCCCTTTTCCCTAGTCATGCTTTTTCATGACCCTGTTTTATCTGAATGTTAACTCCTGTCTTCAGCTCCTTTTGGCCTCCATCTTCAATTGCTTTGGAATTATCTGTGAGGCCATGATACCTTCATCCGTAGTGCACTTAGGCAGAATACTGAATCCAAAGAATATTGTAGAATGGATTCAAGACAAGGGAGAGGATTGGACTAAAAGACTTCTAGGTCCCTTTCAACTCATAGTTTATACTGTATTTGTTTTCTGAGTGTACCACAAACAATGTTTGCCAGCATTGTGATTATTCACGAACATTCTGTCTCACAAAGTAGATAAAAACGCCTGGAGGTGGAGGTCACAGACTCTATATCTTTATATCCCCTTAGTTCCCCGTGTATTTCTGTTGGGTAGTTGTTTGACAAATATTAATGTTTTGATGTTCCTTTTAAAGGTATTATTTGATATTTTGGCAAGTATTCTTTTTTTTGTTGTTTCTTTTTTATCTTAATATAGGTTCTGTGAATGAAATTAACTTTTTTTTTTTTTGAAACAGGGTTTCTCTCTATCACCCAGGCTGGAGTGCAGCAGTATGATCTAAGTTCACTGCAACCCCCACCTCCTGGGTTCAGGTGATCCTCTCGCCTCAGGCTCCCAAGGAGCTGGGACTACAGGCATGAGCTACCGTGCCTAACTAACTTTTGTATTTTTTGCAGAGACAGGGTTTCCCCATGTTGTCCAGTCTGGTCTCGAACTCCTGACCTCAAGCAATCTGCCTACCTCGGCCTCCCAAAGTGCTGGGATTACAGGCATGAGCCACCATGCCAGCCCTGCTTAACTCTTTTCTTTCTGAGGGAGCTCTTTTTGCTTAGGGAAAAGCTAAGGAGTCAACAACCCTCAGAGAATATACCAGAGATGGCATGTTGTTACTGCCCTTTTTGCTGTCTCCGAAGAATTACTGCCAGGCCAAAAGATAGCAGAATTGGTTGGTTTTTTTTCCCTGTTTATGATTTTTGCAATTCTTAAGCTCTTGTGTTATTTACTGAATAGAGTTAGTGATTTAAATGTGTTTGTATCTATTTGTTACCATTATGCTTGGCGCATAGAAGATGCTCAGGAAATGTTTCTTGAATAAATGAATTCTTCCCTAGTATATTTATTGATTTTGAAGTTATATCCTGAAACTGCAAATCTCCAATTAGATGTAAAGGATTAGGCAAAGATTTGAATACTTTATTTCTAACTAAGGCTTTGGGTAAATTTTCTCTCTGGTGAACTAAGTTGGACTTTGACGAGCTTGTAAGTAATCTTTTTCACTCATGTAACTTTAAGATATAGATTGTGTTCTTAGTTTATTTTGTTAGCTTGCTTCTTAGACCAGAGTGGCTTGGTTTCATCACTCTGACGTCAAAGGAGACATGGAAAAATGGACTCATGATTAAAAAGAGTGTTTTCCCCCAAAGATTAGATAAAATGTACTTAGGCCCCTACACTGTGCTTCTTTCTAACTCCTGAGTAGTCCAGATCACCTGTCCAATAAAACTTTCTACAGTGATGGTAATGTTCAATGTGTTGTTTAGTACAGTTGCCACTGGCCACATGTGGCCATTGAGCATTTGAAATGTGGTTCAGTCCTACTTCAGAACTGAATTTTAAATTTTGTTTAATTTTAATTTAAATAGCCACATTTGGCTAGCAGATATCATATTAGACAGCACAGTTCTAGATGCTTCTGAAAAGCTTTGCTTCTTTTTCTTTTCTTTTTTTATTTTTTTGAGACAAGAGTCTCACTCTTGCTGCCCAGACTGGAGTGCAGTGGCGTGATTTTGGCTCTACTTGTGCAACCTCTGCCTCCCGGATTCAAATGATTCTCAGCCTCCTGAGTAGTTGGGACTACAGGTGCCTGCCATCACACCTGGCTAATTTTTGTATTTTCAGTAGAGACAAGGTTTTGCCATGTTGGTGCCCAGGCTTGGTTGGTCTCGAACTCCTGATCACTCCTCAGGTGATCCGCCCGCCTTGGCCTATGACAATGTGAGGATTAAAGGTGTGAGCCACTGCGCTCAGCCAGAAAGCTTTCTTATAATCATTAGAAGGAAGAAATTTCCCCTTTTTCTTTCTTTAAAAGTAGTTTTGGGCCCAGTGCATTGCTCATGCCTATAATCCCAGCAATTTGGGAGACTGAGGCAGGTGGATTGCTTGAGCCTAGGAGTTCAAGACCAACCTGGGCAACATGGCAAAACCCCATTTCTACCAATAAATGCAAAAATTACCTGGGCTTGGTGGTGCGTGCCTGTAGTCCCAATTACTTGAGAGGTTGAGGCAAGAGGATTACTTAAGGCTGGGAGGCAGAGGTTTCAGTCAGCCAAGATTGTGCCACTCCAGCTTGGGTGACAGAGCGACACCCTGTCTTGGAAAAAAATTACTTCAAGCTAAGTATGGTGTCTCACACCTATCTCCCAGTACTTTGGGAGGCTGAGGCAGGAGGATCATGTAAGTCCAGGAATTTGGAATCAGCCTGGGCAAGATGATGAGACTCCCATCTCTAAAAAAGAAAATTAAATAGATAATAAAAAAATAATAAAATTAGCTGGGCATGGTAGTGCATACCTGTAGTCCCTGCTAGTTGGGAGGCTGAGGCAAGAGGATCCCTTGAGCCCAGGAATTTGAGATTGTGGTGAACTATGATCGTTATCACTGCACTCTAGCCTGGGTGACACAGTGGGGGAAAAAAAAAACAATAAAAAACTTTGTCCTTTTTTTTTATATCCCTAGTCTCATTCTAAATCCATATAATAGCTCTTTGTATGGTGGTCTTGTCTTAGCTTCTTTGATATGTGATAATAAACTTCAGAAAGCAGGGACCTCATGTGCTTCATGTCTGTAATCTCCATAGTCATTGTATCGTGATTTGCTTTGACTTGGCAAACAAATAAGCTTAGTATATTTCATATATATGTGTCCAAATCTAAGTGGCCAGCTGTAAGACTCACTTTTATTTTATATTTACAAAAAATAGTTAAACACTCTAATTAAACTGAACATAGGACCTGGGCAGTAGTCTTAGGAGTTGTGATTCAATTTTACTGTGAGTTTCTTCAATCCATTTTAAGATACTTAGCAATTTTTCCTTCCTTTGGGTACATTATTTGACCTCTGATAAGGAATCCTATCAGCAGGAAACTATTTACTTCCTTAAGTTCTTTAAAGAGGTTGGATGAAGTAATTTCTTCACTGACATATATTTGCATCTCTAATACCAAATTCATGACTCATTGCTCTGTTTCTGTGCTTTCTGCCTACACAAAATCTTAATACTTTTTATTGAAGTTTGACATTTATAAAAGAGTTTATAGATCATAAAGAGTTTATAGATCATAAGTATACATCATCTTGAATTTTCTCAAACTGAATACACCTGTATAACCAGTATCCAGATCAACAAATAGAATATTTTCAGCCCCTAAGAAGCCCTCTCATGCCCTCTTCAGTCACTGCTCTTTGGACTTTTAACATCATAGATTAATTTTACCTGTTTTGAGCTTTATAGAAATGAAATCATATAGTATGCACTCTTTTTGTGTCCAATTGCCATGTTTCAACTTTATATAGTAAGATTCATTTATTTTGTGGGATATATTTGTGGTTTGTTAGCTATATAGTATTCCATTGTGTGAAATCACAGAATTAGCTCATTTTGTTCTGTTGATAGGCATTGGGCTAGGTTCTAGTTTTGAGCTAATATGAATAGTGCTGCTATAGATGCATGTCCTTTTGCTATAGATGCATGTCTCCTGTATGTCTTTTGGTAAATGTATGGATGCATTTCTGTTGAGTATATTTTTAGGAGTGGAATTGCTAGGAATATGCATATGGTCAGCTAAAGAAGCCAAATAGTTTTCCAAAATTACTGTTTGATTTATACTCTCAACCCAGTCTACGAGAATTGTTTGCATTGTGAACACTTGATTTTTAAAAAAAACTTTTGAATTTAAGTTGTTGATAATTTTTTTTCAATATAAATCAAGAGAAGTATTTTAAATGGCAATTAAACTTAGCACATAGAGGGCCAACATTGAGCCTAACTTAATCTCAAAGAAAGCTACTTTAAAGGGTGTGCAGGTAGATACAGTGACACTGGATGACTGCCACCTGGTGGTCAAAGATTGTAGGACTTTATTGATATTACTGTTTCTAAAATCAGAATTCATCTTACAGTGTGAAGAAACAT